AGAACAAGTCATTGGAGATGTTCGAGATGGTGTAAGAACTCGTGCATCAATTCATGAGTGTATGATGTCATGTTTTCTATCCCAAATTGAGCCAAAGTCAATTGAGAAAGCTCTAAGTGATCCTGATTGGGTTACTGCCATGCAAGAAGAGCTCCATCAGGTCGAAAGGAACGAAGTATGAGAATTAGTTCCTAGACCCACTCATCAGAATGTTATTGGAACTAAATGGGTTTTTAGAAACAAATTGAGTGAGGAAGGAATAATTATTAGGAACAAAGCCCGATTGGTTGCTAAAGGCTATTGTCAAGAAGAAGGTATAGATTTTGATGAAACCTTCGCCCAGGTTGCAAGATTAGAGGATATACGCATTTTTCTAGCCTATGCGGCATACAAAGAGTTCAATGTCTTCCAGATGGACGTGAAAAGTGCCTTCCTAAATGGATTATTGGAGGAAGAAGTCATGTTGAACAACCACCTGGATTCCAGCTAGATCTTGGACATGATAAGGTCTATAGACTGAGAAAAGCTTTATATGGACTAAAGCAAGCACCGAGAGCATGGTATGACACTCTCTCGTGTTTTCTGGTCAATCGTGGTTTCACGAAAGGATTAGTTGACAAAACTCTCTTTCACATTAAAGACGGAGAACACATTTTGTTGGTGCAAATATATGTGATGATATTATCTTCAGAAGCACAAACTCATCTCTATGTGAGAAATTTTCCAAGCTTATGCGAGGAAAATTTGAAATGAGTATGATAGGTGAATTGAACTATTTTCTTGGACTCCAAGTGAAGCAGTGTCCGGAAGGGATTTTCATAAATCAAGCAAAATACACCAAGGATCTTATCAAGAAATATGGATTGGATGGAAAATCTTTGATCAAAATTCCCATGAATACCTCTTTGCATATGGGTATTGACAACGAAGAAAAGGAGGTTGATCAAACCAAATACCGAGGAATTATTGGATCTCTACTATATCTTACTGCGAGCAGACCAAACATTTCATTTGCTATCGGTGTATGTGCTCTTTTTTAGTCAAACCCGAAAGAAAGTCACCTGAGTGCAGCCAAGAATATCTAAAGATACCTCAAGGGAACGCAAAGTGTTGGACTTTGGTACCCGAAAGGAGGATCTTTCGACCTAACAGGTTATTCAGATGCTGATTTTGCTGGATGTAGAATTGACCGAAAGAGTGCCTCAGGAACATTCCAGTTCTTAGGGGGAAGACTCGTGTCATGGTTTAGCAAGAAACAAAATTATATTGCAACCAGCACTATTGAAGCTGAGTATATAGCTGCAGGGAGTTGTTGTGCTCAAATCATATGGATGATGCAGCAACTAAAGGATCATGATGTTATAGCATGAGAAGTTTATATCAAGTGTGACAACACAAGTGCCATTGCCATCACACATAATCCAGTGCTTCACTCGAGAACAAAGCACATTGATATCAAATATCACTTCATTTGTGATCAAGTGGAAAAGAAGGATATATCTCTGGTATATGTTAACACCAAAGATCAGCTGGCTGATATTCTCACAAAACAAAGCGTAGGGAGATTCTCATCTCTACGAAACGAGTTGGGAATGATAGAAATGGCTTAAAGTGGAAGGGTATCTTCTTTTGTAGATAAATGTTAAGTCATTTAAATATCCCTATTTAATGTCATTCAAAGCTTCTAAAATATCTTGTAAAATCCAAGATTGATGCCTCGTGTAACGTGAATATCTTTGGAAATTGTCAAGATTGTCCTTTTTGTTATAAAAAGGGAAGTAAGGGAAAGGAGGAAACTCATCCTAAAATCCTTATAGCTTCTATCGTGTGTTGTTTTGCAGGTCTTATGGACAGAAACAAGGGCAAAGGGAAGGTGAATGAAACTGCAGCTATGTATCGAAAGAGGTTTTCTGCTAGATTGGTTCTACGTGAGTCTAAGGAGAAACTTAAACAAAGAATGGCAGCAGAAGGAGACCACCTCCACCACCTATTGAGGGAGCTCCAGTTCCACCTCCGCCACCTCCCATGGAGCAGCAAGCAGATCCATATCATTCACTCTCTGTCATGGATGAATTCATTCTTGCTTCTGGCTATCCAAACAGTCCAGGATATTGCCCTCGTGATCCCACCCCGAACTATTCAACTCCACCATCCATGCCTTGCTCAAAAACTCTCTCATCCACTTTGCAGTATACTGCTTCTAGCAAGAAAAGCAAGAAGAAATGAACTTGCGATTATGGTTATTACTGGTTGTTGAAAAAGTTCATTGTGTTCATGTTGTATGGTTGTTTAACCTAAATAATTCCAATCTATGTGTTTCGTGTTGTTGTATTATTGCTAAATTGGTCAATAGTTTGTGTTGAATCTTCTTAAAGAGATTCTCTCATGGGCAAATGAGACAATAACACGCGTACTCACCCCATTGAAGATTAAATGGGTGGTCAGTTTTAAATGGGTCACATTAAAACTCGTGCCCCCCCCCCCCCCCCCCAATTAATAAGGGAACAATTCTCTACGATCTTGGAGTTTTCATAACAGACAAATATTGAATGGTCATTCAATGAACACTACGCTCCACCGTCTGTGATTCCTAAATTTTGGCTATTTAAGGAGATACTAGTTTAAAAGATGGATCATCTCTCTCAATTCTCTTATTCTCTTCTCCATGGATAACAAAAGCAATGAGTTTGCTAAGCCAAAAGAATTTCGAAGGAGATACTCTCGACACCTGGCAACTAAGTCTGAGAAGGAGAAGCGTATGAAGTTAAGAGAAGAAGGAAAAGAAATATACCCAGGAGATTCATCGATTTGTCCTATGGATGTGTCTTCTGACTCAGCTGATGATGAAGGAGGATTCATCTTTGCCTCATTTGAGGATGAAGAAATAGCAACACCACAGGTACCTACTCATGTTGACAAAGACTACATGACCAATCTGGAGAACCAACCTGAAGAAGAACCTGAGATGGAGGATTTCAAGGAAGATGAAGAAGAACCCCTTTAGCCAGAACGAAGGAAGCTAAATTATCCATGCTTCATCTTCTTGGATGCTTCCTTGGTACGCACCATAGTGCCCTGCAAAGTCAAATTTCACTCATCTATAACAACAAGTTCATTCCACATTTACAAAATTGTTGGCCTTATTCCATTCACTTTAACACATGCATTAAAAATGACCAACTTAGTAAGCTTACTAAGATTTCTCCTAGCAAAAAAATCATGCAAATATTCACCACTTCCAATAGCAATTAATTTCAAGAATAACTCATGCTTGCTCAATTCGAAACAATCTGAAAACTTAGGTAACTATAAACACACAAAGTAAGAAAAGCAATTAGTCATCACTTTGCAAAACTCCTCCAATTTGTCATATTTTCGAAAAATTCACCCCCCCCCCCCCCCTTCCTATCATGCTTTCCACACTTTTTCTACTTAACCATGCATTGTAGACAAACCATTTTCATATCATTATCAACAATGTGGGTTCAAGCAAGAAATAGTCAAACAATTTCAAATTCATGGTCAAAGTCAACAATTCCCAAATTTCTTGCATACTTGAATATGAAATTGGGCAATGCAGATGTCCTAAAATCAAACTAACAACTTATATTGGACAAATTAGCATCTAATTGCATTTTTCATTCATCAATTTCATCATTCCATGACAATTTTCACAGAACCCAAAAATATCTCATAATACACAACAAGGGTTTATAGTCAAAATGGAATTCAACAATGCAACATGGTATAAATAAAATTACATCCATCAAAGTGCCTCTCTAAGGTTAACATTCTACAACAATATAAAAGCAAATACACCAACAATGTCATTCTACCATTAAAGAATTTTAGAGAGAGAAAGCTTGATGAAGAGGATAACAATGGAGGGTGTAGAAGATTACCGTGTTGATGAGCTAGAGTATTCTTCAAGCTATGGAACCAAAGATAGAGTGGAGAGTATGGGAAAAACCTTGTGTAATGAAGTTACTCCTTGCATGAATGGCAAATAAGGAAGAGTGGAGAGGACTAGGTCTTTGGAGAAGACAATAAAAATAAGGGAAAAGTCGTGAGGAGGCCCTATTCGGCGCCCTCGTTACGCCGTTGTCATGGCTTGCCAGTGGCGTAATTGGGATTTTATTCCCAATACGCCGTGGTCACGGCGTGACACTGGCATAATTGGGTTGCCGAACCCTTTTACGTTGTGCGTCACGCGTGATCACGAGCGATCCTCGATTTCGAAACCGTCTTCTTCGCTTCTTCTTTGGTACTTTGTCCCAGATATCTCCTCGTGAATTCCTGTTCCATGTTAGTTCTCAGAAAAATTTACACAGAATTAAAAATTGCAGATTAACAAGAAAATGAAAAGAATGAAAATAAAAGCTTGGGTTGCCTCCCAAGTAGCACTGCTTGTAACGTCTTAGCCCGACGTACCCCTTTTTCTTTCTTGATTCATTTTCTACGCTCGTTGACTGCAGACAACTCCATTTCTTTTTCCAAATTAATTCTTAGTCGTCCACGGACAAGATGGTTTGGCTTTGGACTTGCCCTTTGCTTTCATGACTTTCTTTTGGTATCCTCCTTTGTAGTCATACCAAATTTGGCTTCCTCGTTATCAACGCGCAAGGTGAGCTTGCCCATTCCAACGTCATTTATCGGTCGGCAAGTGGCCACAAATGGTGTTCGAAAATTAGTGGCCCACTACAAGAAATTTTCTATTTCCCGACGAAAATTTTAACAACCCTCTAGAAAACGTCGCTAAATATAACAATTACCGATGTTTTATTAAATAGCGTCACTATATATATTGGTAGAGACAATAAATTTTTGTCATAATTTTAGCCGACGAAATATAATTTTTTTGTCAGTAAAAATATAGAATCAATGACGTTTTATAATAAACGTACCTAAAGATTTTATTTTAAAAATTATTTTTTGAATAAAACGTCAGGATCATTTGGCGCCTACTTGACTAAGAAACATATATCTTAAAAAATGAAAAATTTGACTAAAAATTATCGTGAGCTTTTCACACTTTCTAGATTCCTAAACTTCATATTTCACTCTCTACCATCCTCATCTAATCTCTCTACTTCATCTCTGCAAACTTAATCTCTACGTCGTTCACGCACTCCGAGCTCCATCATCGGTCGCCAGTCCAGGCTCCAGCCGCACCCCACCGGTCACGCCACTACCTTCATGTTACTACGAGATCCATCGTTTGGTTCTGCTCTTTGCTCTTTTTTTCTTCGATTTTTGCAGTTCTCAATGCCAGCGATGGAGATGTCGATCGGGTTTACAAGTCAGTTCAGCTTTGATTTTCTTTTTTCTCGCATTCTCTCTCTATTTTTCTAATTATATTTGATTTTGTACTAATTAGCTTAATTAAATCTGTAGTTTAAAATATTATCGGAGCCCTAGTTGAACAGATCTGAAGTTGGAGAATTAAACATATATGAGATTTTGGTTTGTAATCTGCTTGGTGACAGAGTAATGAGAGATGGGGTGAATCTGAATCTGCTTAATTTAGAGCCCCAGCATCCTTAGATATCATTCTATTTTTAAGTTAGGTGTAGTTTTGGTAAATTTGGTTCTTTTGATATTTGCAGTTACCTTGTTTGTTTGTTTGTTTTTTTTTTTTTTCTGCTTATTATTATTATTTAAGCTGCAAATTAGATATAAATTAATTATAGTACACTTACAAGAGACAACATAAATATGCAAATACAATCAATGACCTCTTTTAGAAGAGGATGAGAGTCTGGGAGCTCATAGCTGTAAAATGGGGAAATAAGTTAAGTAAGCATTATTAATTTCACAAGCCACTGCCACTATTCCACTGTGAATAAGAGGAAAACTTATATGGAGTATTAGTTTTTATAAATAAGTTTTTTTAGGCAATACTTACACATTATATATATTCTGTTCTGAGCAGACTAATATGTTTGAGTTTAGGTGTGGGAATGGATGCAGCTTGTGGAGTTAAAGTAATCAGAGCCTTTGACATTTCAGCTTGAGTAAGTTCCATATTGTTTTCCACAAATATTTTCAAATTTTAAACAAACTGTGTCATATTGAGGCCAATCTTTGGAATTTCATCAGTATCATCACCATAAGTTTTTTTTTTTTTTTTTTGAAAATCTGGAACCGAATTTTACATTGTTAATATTGCAAAGGAATAGAGTGCGAACAAATTTTAGATTTGTCTACTGTAAGTATGGGAACAAAACATCTAGTCTAGGAAAAGAGATGGTAATAAAGGGTTTTTCTTAAAATGGAGTTTTGTAATTATTTACTAAAATGTTGGAAAGCTGGTAATAAAGGGTTTTTCTTAAAATGGAGTTTTGGTCTGGTTATTGTCTCATCCTTTTCACTTTGCAGGCATTCCTCAGAAGTTGGATACTTCTAAATGTGGAGATTTTGCCATGAATTAACTTGGATTTGGTCTTGTAGATGTCTTCATGGGTATTCACCAAGTTTTGACAACTTAGTTAATGATCTCAGGGGGGCAAGGGCATACCAAAATTTGAAGGTATAACCAAAGTTTAGAATTTTATTTATCATTTCTTTGTTATATAAATTTGATTTTGGGAAGTATATACTACAGGAATGGAAATTGATTACATGCTACAAGCAATTAAATGCAATATTAACAAAGAAAAGTTATGTTAGAAATTAAATATAATCACAAGAAAGTATAAAAGCCATGTAAAGTTATGTTTGAATAATTTACTACTCATGCTTGAAAGACATTTATGTTTTTTAATGGCAGGGAATATTGCATATCTAGATGCACTCATCAAATAAGACCTTCTTCTCAAGACAAAGGACCTTCAAAGTGCCGACCTCAATAGTTTTGATGAACGAATTATTATCCATCTTTATGTGCATAGAATTGTATACATTCCCGTGTCTAGTCTGGTCGTATTTAAAAATCATTTGTATCACATTATATCCTTGTAATTCAATATTATACTATGAATTGATGTTAAAATATTTTATTTTCAATTACATTAAACTATTGCGTAAACCTTTTTATATACAATTATATGTAAATTATCATCAATTATTAAAAAAATTATAAATATCTCCAAATATAAAATTTTGTGATGACAACAAAAATGAAAAAACCTTAGTAAATGCCTTTTTAGTGAAAAATTATTATTTTGTCATCAATTAATTATTTTAATGACAACATAATAATGTACACAATCGTCAGTAAATGTTATTTTATTGACAAATTTTATTTTTCGTCACCAATTAAATTTATTCGTGACAAGCATGATTGTATGAAAAATATCAGTAAAGACACATTTGTTGACGAAATATTTTACTTCGTCACAAACTATTACCGACGTTTTTGTTAATATTTCGTTTCAAAAAGTATGTATTTCATGACATTATCAAGACCATGAAAAAACGTTAGTAATTGTAATATTTTGTGACGAAAAATTAACTTCGTCAGTAATACCTTTCCATACGCCGCTAACCCGACGGTCCGAGTGACATTTTTATTTCGTCAGTAAAGACATTTGGCGTTAAAAAACGTCGCTAAATGTTAAAATTCTTGTAGTGACATCCTCACTGTCTTTGCCTACGTCTAGTACTACAAAATCTACATGAATCACAAAATTCTTAATCCTTACCAGCACATCCTCCGCAATACCTTTTAGATACCGAACGGATCCATCGGCAAGTCGGACGGTAATGTGGGTCGGAGTCAGTGCAGATATAATCAGCTTATCAAACACATAGGAAGGCATTACACTAACAGAAGCACCTAGGTCAGCAAGTGCATTCTCGAAGATAAGATCTTTCACAGTGCAAGGCACTACGAATGCACCGGGGTCACCCTTCTTTTTGGGGCACCCCTTTTCTAGAACTGCTAAGCATTCCACATTCAGGTGGCCGTGAGATCCCTCACGAATCTCTATTTTGTGCTTAATAAGTTTTTTTAACTGACAGGTTAATTTAGGCATCTCCCCTGTTGTATGCAGAAAAGGCATATTAATATGAAGTTTTCTCAACAAAGCATTGAATTTACCTCGCTGCTCCAGTTCGACCATGTTCGCCAACCTTTGCGGAAATGGAATTGGTGGTCGATAACGGCACGTTACCGATCTGCTATCTGCCTCTTTCTTCATCGTGTCTGTGTCCTACAAGACCTCCTTTCCTTTGTTGGATTTTTCTTCATTTCCTTTGTTGGAACTTTCACTTCCTTGGGTTAGTTGAACCGATATTGCATTGACTCTCTCTTTAGGATCATTCTCTGTTGTGCTCGGCAATGATCCCCAAGGTCTCTCGGGTACCAACTTGACAAGTTGTGCTATTTGTGTTTCCATGCTTTTCATAGAGGCTTGCATCTCTTGTCTCATTGCAGCTAAATCTTGCCTGAATTCCTGCATGACTTCCTATTTCAGCAGTACTCAATCGTTCTTCAAGTCTTGAATTGCTCTGGACAATCTTTCATCTACTTCTCTGATGTTAGGTTGATACGGCTGCAGCTCACCTTGGGAAACATGTGGTGGTCTATAGAGAGCGTTGTTACTTCCTCCAAACTATGGGCCATAGATGATTGGGCCTCTATCTATATTATGACCATAGGCATGTCTACTGTCTTGTGTAACTGGGGTTTCCCTTGCGTCTGGCCTCCTTGATTCCATTCTTGTGCAGGTTTCCGACCATAATTTCCACCTCCAATATTATTTTCACATGAGTTCCATCTTTGCTCTTGTGCATACGCTATTGCGTCCACACTTTCTGATGCGCTTAGTGAAGTACAGATTGTAGTGTCATGTGTCCCTCCGCATATCTTGCAATACAATGCTCGAGCCATACACGGTTGACTTTTGGCTTCCATCTTCTGTATAATGTTCTGCAGTTTCTTGATCTCATGGCTCATGGCCTCAACTCTTGCATCCTGGGCTACATTACCAGATACTTCGTACATTCCTGCTTTTGCATCCCTTCTATTGTACCAAAAAGATGTATTAGAAGATATTCTTTCAATTAAGGATTTTGCATCTGCAGGTGATGATGATACAAATGATCCTCTAGATGATGAATCCAACAACATTTTACGCTCATTAGTGAGTCCTCCATAAAATGAACTGATTACATCCCAAGGATGCAGTAAATCGAGCGGGCATTGCCTACGCAGCATCTTGAATCTTCTCCACGCTTTTCCTAACGATTCGAATGTCCCTTGCTTAAAATCCTGGACGTGTTTACGCACTTTCATCATTTTTGTGAGCAGGAAAAACTCGTTCATAAACTCCCGATGTAACTGATATTGACCCCAGGATCGGAAGTGCTCATTATCCTGAGAATCCAGCCAAGTTGCCGCATCTCCGATTACGGAGAACGAGAACAGGGTGAGTCAGATGATGTCTTCGGGTATTCCATTTGGTCTAAACATACTGCAAGATCTGACAAATCGGATCATATCGGTATGCAGATCTTCTAATGGCAATCCACTGAATGGATTGTTCTGAACTAAATTGATGACCGAAGGATAGACAGTGAAGTTGTTTCCTTCATTGGTGGGATATAGATGGAGTTATGTATCGAGAACTCCGGTGTCATATACTCTGCTATAGTCCGCATACGCTCTTCTCCCCGGGCGCATTTTTTAACTCGTCCCTTCCTAGTGGTACTGCATATCCTGGCATGTCTTCATCGAGTCTCACTATAACACCCCCGATTTTACCAAAATTTAAAAGCTTAAATACGATATAAAACTAAGCATTAAGCATAAACGGAGCAGAAGCTATTCAACTGCAAAACGGGGAATGTTATGCCACACCTATGCAACTATAGGTGCACAGGCTAAGTCTACAAGTCTATCCATGAACAAAGTCATAAGAACAAGGCACACAGGCCATAAGTCTAAACAAGTCTTAAACGAAGGAAAGCAAGAACTACGCTATCTAAGGTCCACTAGCGCGCTCTCCAAGCTACTCATAACCTGTAAAAACATAGGGATAACACCCGTCAGCGAGAGATGCTGGTAACCCACCAATACGTGTTAAGTAACATAATATATAGATATATTCAAAACTATTTGAGACAGAGGAATACAGTATATATCATTTCAAAACCAAGAGAGGAAATGTCAAGAGACACAACCCAACACTCTCAACAAAGACCAAACATCAACAACAATCCACAAGCCAACAAAGACAACAAGCAACATACTCAACAATGGACACAACCTACCATCTTCATGGTAGAGTTCTCGATAGACATGCTCATAAGTAATAAACACAACAATTCACATAATGACAAGTTTCACTTTCCAACCTTATACCTTAGTACCACCCTTATGGCTACCCCATGTCTTATCTCAGTTCCAACCTGTGCCTCTGAGTGCCACCCTGTACTTCTGAGTCCAACCTTATCCCTCCTGGACCGTCGTCCCCCACCAATCTACCACCAATCAATACCGTCAATCTCTGAGTACACGAGGGTACCATTAAATATCATAGTAACATATGCCGCACTGACCACACGGGAAAACCTGTTCTCAGAGGAACCTGACCCAATATATATATATATATATATATATATATATATATATATATATATATATATATATATATATATATATATATATATATATATATATATGGTGTATTTTCGAACACTGTGTGGTGCATTTATGCATACCTAATGGTGTATGCCGCACGGGAAGACCTGTTCGCACAGGAACCTGACCCTATATATATATATATATATATATATATATATATATATATATATATATATATATATTTGGGATTATATTCAAATACAAACGTGCGGATTCATTAGGATCGTTGGATTTCGAGATTGGATGTCCAAGATTTATTTAATTTATTTTTAGCATCATTTATGCTAATTTCGCATGTTGTATTTTAAGAGGGTCATTTTTGGGTTTTTCATTGTGTTTTTGCCGGTTCAATTCTAATAGGCTTAATACACTGAGGAGTCCATTGTCCGCCAATTCCACGTTTCTCTCTCGCGTTCGGCAGGAGCGTTCTACCCTTCTCTCACGCCGTCAATCGCCGTGACTTTCAAGATGGACGTCGGTGGGGACCGCGGCAGTGATAAGCGACGGGGAGAACCGGCTGATCGTGTAGGTCGAGGTATGTTTGTCCCTTTTCTCGTTTGCCTTTTTTCACGGCATTTTTTTGCCTAGGGTTTGGGTTGCTTTGTGTCTGATGGGGGGGATGATGGTTATGCATGGTGTTTCCGGCATAAACGTGGTTTTGTGGGTGTGGGGCGATGGCTCACTGCGGTTCACGTGGGTTTGGGAGTGGCGGGGAACAGTTCGGGGTTTTTCTTTTTTTAAATTGTTGTGTGTGGGTGCAGCAATTGAAGTTAGGATGGATGCAAAAATTCTAGATCCAAGGTTATCCGAGCTGTTCGTGTGTGATGTGATGTAGGGGTGGTGTGCGACGGTTGACGGCATGGGTGGGGTGATGGGGACACTGTTGCATTGTTTGCTGCTCTCTTTTTTTTTTTTTAATTTGTATTGTTGTGACTTATTATATCATTTCTCAGAGACTGAGTAAAGAATAAATTGTGGCGTTCGCTTTTTGTCATGTGTGCACTGGTTCGGATGTTAGGTTTTGCTATGATTTTGAGAATAAAGAGACTTTTTTGAGGATATATGGAATTAATGAGAGGAAAAAATTTAGTTTTACTGGAAAAGAGTAAAAAAAAAATGAGTTTAAGAACTAGTCAATGTTGCTGTAAGATTGTCTTGACCAGTTTAGTTAATTTTCCATAATCTATATATATAATTAAGCATTCAATTGATTTGATGCAGTGAATAAGCATATCTGTAATGAATGTTTTTGTGATAACAAAGTCTGCATCTTTCTTTCTTTCTGTATTTCATTTAATAAAATACTCTTGTTTTATGGAAAAAGGGAATGATTGTAGAGTTTACAAAAAAAAAACTGGTTTATGTGTTTAGTTTAGAATTAATTAATTATGTTATATGCATTCAAAAAAATTAATTATGTTATTTTATATTATAGTAACTAGCAATTGATCCGTGCAATGCACGGATAGGATTTGAAAATTTGCTTGTGGCATTTCAATTAACCAAAATGTATTTATTTAGTAGACGCAAAGTATGTTGAATATATTTGAAGAACAAAAGAGAATATAAAGAAGATTCTAATGATAAAAAAAAAAAGTACTTGGGCATTCTATATTACATTATGGTAATAATAAAATATTAAACATTATTAAATGCTTCATGGTAAACAACGTTAGTGGGTGACGTACTAACATTGTTCGAGTCACTACAAATTAAAATCTTCAATCCTCACCAAGCACCTTGTGCTCAGATGGCATGTAGTGACATCGTCTCCCATGTGGGAGGTCATGAGATCGAGCCTCAGTGGAGGCATTTTTGACTCAGAAATTACTCACCCTAGAAGCTCATCGATCCTCAGAACAACCTATAATTGACCGTGAACAAAAATCGGTTTCATCGTTTTTTGGCCAAGTTGCTTTTCTTTTTGTCTAATTCACTTTCTTTTCCTTTTTCCTGTGTAAGTTTTGGGAATACCCCCATTCATAGGTCCGAAATCAACATCTATGAATTGAAAGGTCCGAATGATAAACTCTGCAATCAGTTGTTAGAATCGATAGGTTTTCAAATTGTTCATTTGAAAAAATTGAACCCCTTCTTACTGGCTGATGATGGTACTTCGAAATTCTTGATCAATGGAGGAACAATATCACCATTTTTGTTCAATAAGATACCAAAGCGGATGATTGACTCATTCCATACTAGAACTAATCGCAGGAAATCCTTTGATAACAAAGATTCCTATTTCTCAATGATATTCTACGATCAAGACAATTGGCTGAATCCCGGGAAACCATTTCACAGAAGTTCATTGATATCCTCTTTTTATAAAGCAAATCGACTTCGATTCTTGAATAATCCGCATCACTTCTGCTTCTATTGTAACAAAAGATTCCCTTTTTCTGTGGAAAAGGCTCGTAATAATAATTCATATTTTCTATATGGGCAATTCCCTAAATCACAGGTTTCTCCGGGAGTAATACCACGTTTCATTATACGTATTGAGTAAATTTTGTGTTCTAATACTAACTTACTACATATAAAAATACAGGTACAACGCATTACATTTATATACAATAATTTAGCTAAAAAAGTTAATATTTACTTTCTTAAGAATTGTTATTTCACTTTTGGTCTAATTCTCAAACCAAACATGTTAAAAATTTTGTTTAGATTGTAGTTAGAACTTGGGAGGCCATAATTTCCCCGGTTTCTCCGGGAGTAATCCCACGTTTCATTATAGCATTATACGTATTTAGTAAATTTTGTGTTCTAATACTAACTTACTACATATAAAAATACAGGTACAACGCATTACATTTATATACAATAATTTAGCTAAAAAAGTTAATATTTACTTTCTTAAGAATTGTTATTTCACTTTTGGTCTAATTCTCAAACCAAACATGTTAAAAATTTTGCTTAGATTGTAGTTAGAACTTGGGAGGCCATAATTTCCTTTCAATAACAATGAATTCCTTTATTATTGAATTTAAGATTGATATATTTTGAAGAATCGACATAATTAGAACGATGGCCATTTGTGTCATGTATGCTCAAAACTCAACCTTTATTTTTACCTATATGTTTCCTCTTGCCGCATTTTGTCTGTTTTAATCAATCAACTTCATCAACCTTCTTCGCAACGTTAGAAGTGTCTTGTTCCTTGAGCTCTCTGTTGAGGAGAACTCATCCAGCAGACATCTTATTAATGCATCAGTGTTAGCTCCACTAACATGCTTGTTACCCTAATCATTCAAAACATGTCTTTCTGCTCATCACCTAATAAAAATCCCTACTAATCCAAGCCTTACCAAAACCTCTCTCTTTAGGATTTTTTTTAATCTCCTAAAATATGAAAAAGATGTTAGTATTCATTTATGATAGAAAATTGAGATTACTCCATCAATGGAACAAAACTTATAAAGGGTGCCTTAAGCTAGGCAACTGTCATCCCCCATAATTCACAACTTTCCCTATCCCACAGTAAAAAGGGTGCATCCCCATTCCCATCAACCACACAAACTTTTAATATAATCCATCCTTTTCACAAAATTTTTTGTTACTGCGACGGGGAACCCAGTAGTCACCATACTCAAATAAAAGTAAAAAAATGTATCAGAACAAAAACTACAAACTAAAAACTATTAGTCTATACACACCAAAATACAATGACAGCAATGTTCAACTAAAATAGTCTACAAACTACTAAATAACTATCTACTCCTTCAATCTGTCTCAACTCTCAACCACCCCTGCAATCAACTACATCCTAAAGGTGTAAACTATGAAATATAAACTCCAAATTCAATTGACCTGCAAATAAAAATTATAGTAATATAATAGTAGTTGTTTTTATTGGAAAAGAACCTGCAAATCCAATCTAAGTAGTTCCCTGTTTATAAAAAAGTATTGGTGAAGAAGCTGTTTTTATTTCTAAGCATGTTGTCAGCATTCTGAAAAAAAAAAAATATCATGTGCTTTTAGTATTCTGGAAAACATCTCACACTACAACAAACAGCTTTTTTAGCGACATATATTTAACGGTGGTTATATATATAACCGCCGCTAAATGAATATTTCGCAACAGTTATAAAACCGCCTCTAAATCTTATACTAAAACTTAAAAAAATAATGGTACGAAAGGCATTATACATTAATTTAATACGTATTTTAGCGGCGGTTATATGACCGTCGCTAAAACTCAAATTAAAATTTATAAGTGTTTAAAAATTAACCCTTCCTGTTTTCCACAACACTCTTCAATAGTTCAACCGATCGTTTCTCTCCAAAAGAATAGTCGCCAAAAACCCGTCTCCCATTATTCAGTCTTTTCTCTCAAATTTCAATTTTTCCCAATTCTTCCACAATCCCTAGTGATTTCTAAAACACGAGGAAGCAACAATCGCTGAATCGTTCATTCAATTCATTTGTTCGTAGCCGACGGAGTTCGATTACGTGTTCGTCGCCACTGGAGTTCGAATTCTTGTTCGTCGCCGCCGGAGTTCGATTTCTTGTTCGTCGCAGCCGAAGTTGGGAAGAGCAGTTTCTGCAAAATCTTCTACTAGGTTATGATATGATTCATTTTGCAATTGAGTTAGCCTTCGAATCTGCTATTTGTAGCCTATTTTGAAAAATCTTCTGCTAGGTTGATAACTTGATATTTTTCACCATCGATTCCAAGTTGAACTTTGACTGCATTTTGTGTAAACTTGTTTCGTCACTAAATATTTTGACTATTGGTTAATAGTTTCGTCAGTTTTCGTTAATTATGCTGGCCTATGTGAAACTTGCTTCAGTTTAGTACCAATACATTAACATTTTGAAACTAACTTAGACAGGTTCCTATTTTTGATGGGTTAGCAAGGGAATGGGTAAATGCAATAGAAGAAGTTGGGTTGAAGGTTGCTGCTGATTCTGGTGGCAAAAGCTGTGATAAGTTGGCACCTTATGTTAATGAACCTTTTCATGTGTGGAAAAATGACACTTTTGTTGCTGCATTTCCTTCTTCAAAGCTCAGGATCAGCTGTGGAATTAACTTTCCTTAGGTAAAATTATGCACAAATATGATATATATAGTGATCAACCATTGCGGCATTGCATATATTATTGTTAAGAAATCATCCAGTTTGTCTTTTGAACTTCAGGTTCAGAGTCTATAAGTGTCCCTGTGGTCCTTGTCTTGGTCCTGTTTTGTATATTTATTTAGCTGAGTATTGACAAATGAATTTATAGTATGTTTGTCAATTAGAGGATTTAACTTGCTGCTGCTTGTAGTGATGACTAACAAGTTTATATGGAACTTGGAAAGTGCTAATTGTGGATCTATTCTGCCTTGTAATGATTCATGTCTTGCACTCTTGCAGGCTCCTGCAATTGGGTGTCAATGGTTTTCTTGTTCATTATCAGATGATTGCGTCTATGTAGAGCAGATAGCTTCTTCAAGAACATTTTGCATTTATGAGCAGGTCCTTTCCAAGTGTTTTTAGTTGATTTTATTTTCATCTACCCAATTTTTTTTCATTATGATGCTCTGCTGGCCTATGATTATATAATCCTTTATTATGCTCTTGGTGGTTATTTATTTATTTATTTATTTTTCTGTGTGACCTAAGGCATAATTTGTGCTCTTATTGAAATATTTGTTTGAAACCATTTTCAGGTGGTTGAGAGATTAATGTATTTAGTCTTAAATTTGAGCTATTCTCAAAAAAAATTGAACATTTTTTTTTAACTTTAAAAAATCTATTCAAGATAAACTTAATAACATATTTTAATAATTATTAGTTAAAGTAAATAAACTTTATAACATATTTTAATAACTAATTAACATTGATTACATTATTATAAAGTTGGATTTGTGTCAACAATGGTGATATGATAATTTTATCTGGATAAACTATTCGTTAGTACCTATTAAAGACTCACTAACCCTTTATTTATCTGTGCACTTTCTTGCTATGTTAATGGGTTTTGTTGAAAATTTTCAGGTACCAAACCTTGGCAGTTAACTGAAATTGTACATCAAACTCAATGCCTAACGGTTTCCGTGCCAGAATGCTCTGATGCAAAGGTTTTGACCTATTTTCTCTGTCAATTTTATTGTGGTTCATCTTTCCTACTAACCAATGATTGTTGCTTTAAATAATAAGGTGCAAGCATTAATTATTTAATTCTTGAAGGTTTCACAACTGACGAAATGATTCTATTAAGGTTGCCGGACTTCTTTATACAAAGTCTGGTGATGGCATCATGACAGTCAGTTTAAACATAACATTAATCTCTCAAAGTATTTTTCTGTGTTGGTTTGCTTTCTTAATTAGTGTTTTTTTTTCTGGTCTAGTTTTTAAATTTGTAATTTAATCCCAAAATACTTCAGGAAGAGAACAAAATATTGGATAAAATGCATCGCCAAAAGGTTGCAGAAGTTGAAAAGCTTACCCAAACTGTGTGTGAGCTTGAAGAGGCTGTTCTTGCTGGTGGTGCAGCAGCTAATGCTGTTCGGGATTACCAACGCAAAGTTCAAGAGATGAATGTAATGTGCAAAAAATAATTCCATTATACATCATGCCTGATAAGTCAAGAGTACCATGTATCTTAAAATATGTTCTGTTTAATCTGTTCCCAGGAAGAGAGAAAAACTCTTAACCGGGGGCTGGCACATGCGAAGGTTACTGCAAATAGGGTGGCCACAGTGGTTGCTAATGAGTGGAAAGATTCTAATGACAAAGTAATGCCTGTAAAACCGTGGCTTGAAGAGAGAAGGTTTTTGCAGGTATATTAGTTGTCGATCACAGCCCTTGATTAGCTTGATGTTCTAATTGTGATTCTATCTTGATTAATGAATTTAATGCATTTTGATTGTTATGTTTAACTGGGTTGTGGTGGCCACATCTTCTAATGTCACAGGGGGAGATGCAACAATTATGAGATAAGCTAGCAATTTTTGAACGAACTGCAAAATCAGAAGCCCAGTTGAAAGTATTGCTTCACCCAATTTAATATCTGAGTTTAAACTCAATTTCCTATTTATGTCCTAGTTTAAATTGCACTTTACTATTTTCCCTAGGAAAAATATCAATTAAGGCTTAGGGTTCTAGAAGATACATTAAGGTCATCTAGCACAAGCGTTTCATTGGAAACTTTGTTATCTTTGGTTAAAAGCATCTCTATTGATGGTGGAGTTGGTTTTGCTTTCATCAATGTTGCTGGCAAAAATGATTACCCATTATCTTTGTTCTTTATTCAATCAATTATGAATCCTCCCTAATGGAATGGGGATGTTTGAGATGTTCATTGTGTAGTGTCTAACATCTAAACATTGCAGGTTGAGGACTTTTATGTCTTGGGGGAAGAATTTTTCATTCCATTGATGGTGAATTTGCATGCAGTTCCCTTGGGAGAAGATGGAAACCTTGCTTCATTGAAAGTTCCTTCTGGGAAAAAAACTACTGGAATAAAAGTTGATCATGTCACTGTTGCTCCTATATGTGTTCAGCTTTAAGAACCACCAATGTTCAAGACCTAGAGAGAGTGAACAACAGTACCTCTATGCCATGCTTCCTGCATCTGCTCATCTTCGTGTATTTGAAGAATTGTGTTTTGAATTGTCTAAGCTGATGAAGCAACTTCTTTTAATACTATACTATTGAATGTTATTATTTGACAAATATTAGTTACAATTGATTTTCTTTTCAATTAAATGTGTATATAGAGTTTATTTGTGATTATACGCATTTGAATATAAAGATTTTTGAAGAAATATAATTAAATAATTATTATAAAAATATAATAATGTAATTATAAAACATTTAGCGACACTTAATAACTGCCACTAAAATTTAAGGATACAAATAAATAGATTTATTTAGCGACAGTTACAAAACCGCCGCTAAAAGCAAACTAAAATAAATAAATTTATTTAGCGGCAGTTTCAAAACCGCCGCTAAAAGCAAACCAAAATAAATAGATTTATTTAGCGGCGGTTATGAAACCGCCGCTAAAAGCAAACGAAATAAATAGATTTATTTAGCGGCGGTTACGCAACCGCCGCTAAATGCATTCAAAACCGTCGCTAAATAATTTTTCCATGAATTCCCGCGGTTGTAGAAAATCGCAGCTAAATGCTTCGCGATACACTATTTAAACACGGTTGTATAACCGCTGCTAAACATACTAGTGGCGGTTTATAACCGCCGCTAAATGCCTGATTTGGTGTAGTGTCAAAAATGAAAACATACCTCTGAGTCATGGAGTATGACTTCTTTACATTTGATTGATCTTTCCGTTCTGGGTATCTGGTATGTATGGAGAACTCGGACTTTCTGCACTCCTGTATTCTATGGTGAGATTTCACGCCCAAGCATGTAGAGGCAATACATTAAAACTGAGTTCTTGTGCAGTTTTAGTCGAACCATTGTTGTATTCCGGTAGATGATTGCAATTCTGATGTTGAATTATATTATAGTCGAAGAGTTTGTATTTGAAACAAAGTGGTGTATTTATAAGTAGGTTAAACACTTTGATATATACCAATCGTTAACCTTTACCTTGGTAATGCCAATCGTTCTCTGGACATTGAAATTGTTTATGGGAAATGCCAAGCGGCTGAATAGTACTTCCATATTAATCAGATTTGAGTTGATTTTGAATTAATTTTGGAAATATGAACCATTACCATATTAAATGAATAATAAATAATACTGACTGTGAATCTCTTCTCTTCTCTTCCTAATTAAACGGCAACGTTTTGTTTGGGTGGGAAATTTATTCCTATTTTTATTTTCTAAAAAGGTTCTGCTTTATTATAATAGAGGATGTAGTTGCTATGTGCGCCCATGTGAATAAATTGTGGCATTTATTTTATTTTATTTTTTTGTTGTTGCGTGCAGCTGAGGGAAGCATGTTAGTTCTTGAATGCATTTGTGGTACTCATTTCGTGTTTCGTATGGTTGGTTGATTTTTTTGTGTTCTTCTATTTTTTTCGTTTTAGGGAACAAATTTTGGTTGATGTTGGTGGTAGGGGTGCGCGGTGGGCAGACTTGTTGTCATTGGCACCCGGGTCTTTGGTTGAGGTTGCTGTTGTAGATGCGTGGACATGTCTCCTAAATTGTCGTGAGCGGGTTAAGACCCCTTCTGCCCCATCTCGTTTTTTTTTGCATCTACTCATTCCATGGTTTGTGTCTACATCTTTTCACGGCCTAAAGGTTTTTGCCATCTTTATGTTTTTTTTTTTATTGTTCTAATTTTGTTTCCCTTTGAAGCTTCATACTGTGGTGGATACCTCTGTTAATCGTGATAAGCGTATTGCTATGTTCAAGGATAGGCTGCAGAGTGACTTTGAGATGTCGTCGTACCACTACACTACTAAGGTTGACTTGGTATTTATGTTTTTGTACTTGTTTGCTTTCAATCTGCTAGCTATTTGACAGCTATGCACACTCTGTTTGTCTAGTGTGCACACAGGTGGCATGGGATAATTTCTTTATGTCTTGGGATGTTTTTTTTAATCATTTTGTTTTTTTTTTTCAATTGGTGCACCGTTGCGTTTATGCAATTTATGTTCCCCGTGCTACATCAGGGCCATTACTTCCTGTTGTCCATTGATTTTCCTAAATTCCGGTATGAAATAATTGATAATTTGACTCTTCAGCCTGACAAAAAGTTGAAATATGGGAATTGTTTGGAAGATTTGGTATGATTTCCTTTTTTCCATGAGTTATACGTTACTGTCTTTGCGGGTTCTATTTTGGTTGGGTTTCATTAGGGGGGCTATTGACATTTGTTGCAGTTAGACATGCTTTTGGAATTCTTTAAAACAATTCATCCTGGGAGGTCTACGATGTGTGCGTTCTTGGTACTGAAGCGCATTCAGAAGAGTTGGTGTGATGGGATGAACAAGGTTGATTGTGGGGTTTATGTCATGCGACACATGGAGTGACCAGTGGGGCAAGGAGTGACGAGATATGGCCTTACCAAAGGTAACACTACTCAGCTCAAAGAAGTTGAAGTTGTGCTACATGAATGAGATTGCAACGTCAGAGTACAACTTACTTAAGTGTTTCAATATCTTTCGGGCGTATGAGTTTGTTTCATCGCTCTCGCCGGGTCCGTGTGTGTGTGTGTGTGTGTGTGTGTGTGTGTGTGTGTGTGTGTGTGTATATATATATATATATATATATATATATATATATATATATATATATATATTGGTTTTTTGTGGGAATAGGTCTTCCCGTGCGGTCAGTGCTGCATACACCATTAGGTATGCATAAATACATCATACAGTGTTCAAGAATACACCAGAATGAAATGTCAAAATATGCACCACACAAAAAAAAATACACCACACATAATGGTGTATTTTCTAACACTATGTGGTGTATTTATGCATACCTAATGGTGTATGCCGCACTGACCGTACAGGAAAACCTGTTCTCATAGGAACCTGACCCTATATGTGTGTGTGTGTGTTCAGGTTCAGGTGCATTTAAGTGTGTCCCGTGTGGTTGTGCGGGTGATTAATGTACGCGAGTTTTGTACTTAATGTGCGTGAGTCTTTTGCTTAATGTGTGTGAGATGTGTGCTTAATGTGCTTGAGTGTGTAATGTTTAATGTGCGTGAGTTTTGTACTTAATATGCGTGAGTCTTGTGCGTAATGTGCGTGAGTTTTGTGCTTAATGTGCGTGAATGTGTACTTAATGTAAGTTGTTGAAACTTTAAAGTGCATGAGTTTTATGATTAATGTGCTTGAGTTTTATGATTAATGTGCTTGAGTTTTGTGCTTAATGTGCGTGAGTCGTGTGCTTTAGGTGCGTGAGTTTTGTACTTACTGTGCGTGAGTGTGTACCTAATGTGAGTTGTTTTTAAAACTTAAGGTGCGTGTGTTTTTGTGTTTAACATAAGTGAGGCTTGTGCTTAACATGCGTGAGACTTGTGCTTAACATGCATGAGGCTTGTGCTTAACATGCGTGAGGTTGTGTTCTGAAGGTGTTTTGTTAGTGTGCTTAATGTGCGTGTGTTGTGCACTTTAAGTGCGTCAGATTAATGCTCAATGTGCGTCCACCCACACAACCGCACGGGAAGCCTCAAATGCACCTGATCCCTTCCCTATATATATATATATATATATATATATATATATATATATATTGTTAATTTCAGCGGAGTTTCGTTGTATTTAGTTGCAATTTCAAATTTAGTCCCACACTATCATTTTTGCTATTTAATACCCTACACTATCATATTTTGGACACTTTTAGTCCTTCTGACCAATTTTCATGTGAATCCCTATTTTAGACAAGGGGTATTTTCGTCTATTTATTTTTTTCCCTAATGACATAATTCCGACAGAGGCCTCTTGTCTTTGGTGTCAATTCCAAATTTAGTCCAAAACAATCATTTTTGTCATTTAACAACCTAGACTATCATATTTTAGATACTTTTGGTTCTTCTGATTACATTTTCAAGTGAAACCCTACATTAGGCAAGGACATTTTCGTTTCTCAAATTTTTTCCTAGTTTTTTGCGCCAGTTTTTTTCTTTTGATTTTCGTCACTTCAGTCATACGGATTGCACCATCTCCTTTAGCCGGCTCTTGTCTTCATACGCACCTTAAGCTATAAACTTACGCACCTTAAGCTGTAAATTTACGCACCTTAACCTTTAAACTTAGGCACCTAAAGCTATAAACTTACGCACCTAAAGCTATAAACTTACGCACCTTAAGCTTCGAACTTATGCACCTTAAGCTTTACACATACGCACCATAACCTTTGAAATTACGCACCTTAACCTTTAAACTTATGCAACTTAAGCTATGACTTTACGCAAAATGACCATAATGCCACCGTGTTTTTTTAATTGTTCTTCATTCTAGGCTATTGATTTTGACAAGATCAAAGGTTGTGATTAATTCGCACATTTCACCCAGGAGAAGCTTCACACCCGATCCCTTATATATATATATATATATATATATATATATATATATATATATCAGGTGCGAAGAGGGCTTCCGGTGCAAAAATACAGAGGAATACGATTAATGATTCTTTAAAAATAAATTCTATACAAAACTGTGCACTTGAAGCAATAAAAATATGCACTTGGAGGCCAGAATTCTGCACATGAAGGCACAAAGATGCGAAATTGAAATGACTATGCTGTCAAAAAAGGAAGTTATTCAATTTAAGTGTTATTGAAGCAATTACCCATACAAATCATTTTTGAATTACACAAATGTCAATAGGAATTTAGTTATACATACATTATTGCAAAGAAGACAAAAGACATAATAAACATTGCCCATAACCACTCGAAGGCACAAAATTGTGCACCTAAAGGCACAAAAATATGTACTCGAAGGTCAAAATTCTGCACTTGAAGGCACAAAGATGTGAAATTCAATGCAATTATGCTACCCAAAGAAAAAGGAGTTATTCAATTTAAGTGTTATTGAAGTAATTACCCATACAAATCATTTGTAAATTACACAAATTTCATTAGAAATTTTGTTATATATTATTGCAAAAAAAGACACAAGACATAATAAACACTGCCCTTAATCATGCACTTGAAGGCACAAAAATGTGCACTCAATGTTAAATTTATGCACTTAAAGGCACAAAGATGTGAAATCAAAGCAATTATGCTATCAAAAAAATGAATTATTGAATTTAAGTGTTATTTAAGCAATTAACCATACAAATCATTTGTAAAATTACAAAAATTTCATTAGGAATTTAGTTATACATTATTGCAAAGAAGAAAAAAGACATAATAAACATTGTCCATAATCATGCACTTGAAGACGTAAAAATGTGCACTTGAAGACATAAAAATGTGCATTTAAAGTTCAAAATTCTGCACTTGAAGGAACAAAGATGCAAAATCAATGCAATTATGCTACCCAAAAAAAAAACGGGAGTTATTCAATTTAAGTGTTTTTGAAGCAATTACCTATACAAATCATTTTTAAATTACACAAATTTCATTAGGAATTTAGTTATACATTATTGTAAAAAAAGACACAAGACATAATAAACACTGCCCATAATCATGCACTTGAAGACACAAAAATGTGCACTCGAAAGTCAAAATTCTGCACTTGAAGGCACAATGATGCGAAATCAATGCATTTATACTATAAAAAAAGGGGCATTCAAAAAAAAAAAAAAAAATACTATAAAAAAAGGGAGTTGTTAAATTTTAGTGTTATTGAAACAATTACTCATACCAATCGTTTTAAAATTACAATAATAATAATAATAATAATAATAATAATAATAATAATAATATTATTATTATTATTATTATTATTATTATTATTATTATTATTATTATTATTATTATTATTATTATTATTATTTTAAATTTCTATTTATGTGGCATATGTTGATTGGCCACTATTTTTTTCATTTTCTTTCTCCAAACAGAACAGATTGAAATAGTAATACTCCTTCAATTCTTTCTTTCTTTTCTTTTCTCCATTGTATATATTTTTTTTCAAATATAAAGCCATAACGTTTTTCAGTTTAAAAAAATGAAGAATTTTCGTGATTAGTAAATTTTTAAAAAAAATTCACTTGACAGAGCACACATGTTGGTTGTTGGACAGTAAAAAAAAGGCAAACTTACTTGGTTTTATGCAACAAGAATGAAGGAGCATTTGGGCAATTGGCATTTGGTTAACAAACAAATGAATGCCCACTTGAGACTGAGAGAATCTATGAGGTGTAAGTGCTGATATTTTTCCTTTCTATATGTTGAATTGTATTGTAAGCAAAGCCAATATAATTGAAATGACCTATTGGGACTTGAAAATTCCTCAACTTTTTAATGATGCAATTAAAGAATGATGAAATCATAAGTACCACCCACCCCACGCCTAGCTTTGTCGGTAAACCCACCAATTGCTTAATTCTTTGCACCCCATTACAATTTTGGAATCTCACTATGTTACTTTGGACGGGAAAATATTACATGTACTCTCGCAAATTATATTGTGCATCGCGGTGCATAATCGATTATGTACCGAGTTTCAAAACGACGTCGTTTTGTTTAATGAAAAGAAACGGCACCCGTTTCGCGCCGTTCAGCAAAAAGTAACTTTGTTATTCAGTTTCATTTTGTATACACTGCAGTTTTAGTTCAGCACAATTATAATTTCATTTCAATATAACTACAGTTTCATTCGATATTTATACACTTAAATATGTGAAAATATTATTTAATTTTATTTTATATACAGTATAGTTTCATTAAAACACAACTACATGATAATAATTTCAATATAACTATAGCTTCATTGCACAATATACATTCAAATATGTAAATGTTAATTGCAGTTTCATTTCACTACAACTACAGTATCATTTTGATATAACTACAGTTTCATTTGATAATATATGAAATAATACGTGAAGCAGTGTCTGTTTAGATACATTGTAGTGTTAATTTAGATACATTGTAATGTCAGTTGATAATTAACACACCAAAATATACGCGTTCCGTTGACAGTAACAGCACGCCGTTTCTTTAAGTAAAGAAACGGCGCCGTTTTGACCACGGTGCATTGGCACCGCAGTTCACGATATAACTACTGTTTTTTACTCCCACACACAAAATTTAAAGGAATAAGGGTCAAATAGGCCATCGAACTGCACCTAATAATGCAATTAGGCCATCGAACTTTAAAAAGCAACAATTAGCTCCCTGAACTAACTAATTCTATTCAATTAGTCCAATTTGTAGGTTTTGGAGGTTATTAGAAGGTCACCCCTAATTTATAATATTTTTAAAAAATTATTATTTAAAATACTTATTTAAAATTTAAAAAAAAAAAAAAAAAAAAAAAAAAAAAAAAAGATACCGTCTGCCGGAGACGAAGAAACCTTCTTCGTCTCCGGCCATGGAGACGGAGTTAATTTCTTCGTCTCTGGCCGGAGACGAAGAAGGTTCCTTCGTCTCCGGCCATAGACGAAGAAGTTAACTCCGTCTCCATTGCCGGAGACGAAGAAACTCTTCGTCTCCATGGCCGGAGACGAAGAGTCTCTTCGTCTCCGGCCATGGAGACGAAGATATTTTTCGTCTCCGGCCATGGAGACGAAGATATTCTTCGTCTCTGGCTGGAGACGAAGAATATCTTCGTCTCCAGCCAGAGACGAAGAAGATTTCTCCGTCTCCATGGCCGGAGACGAAGAAACCTTCTTCGTCTCCGGCGTGTCAATCTCTGTTTTTTTTTTTTTTTTTTTTTTTTTTTTTTTTTTTTTAAATTTTAATTATTAATATTAAATAATTATTTTAAATAATAATTAATTTTTTTTTTTGAAAAGAGGTAACCTGCTAACAACTTGGAAACCTACAAATTAGACTAATTGAATAGAATTTGTTAGTTCAGGGACCCAATTGTAGCTTTTTGAAGTTCGGTGGCCTAATTGCATTATTGAGTGCAGTTCGATGGCCTATTTGACCCTTATTCCAAATTTAAAATCTTGATATAAACACTTGCTTTAAGACACATAAAAAAAAATAATAATAATAATAATAACTTATCAATGCCCGTCACATCAAGAAATAATAAAATTTAAGAAATGAGATTTAGAAATCATCACTATCAAACCAAATAGCTGAATCTAAATTTGTAACTTAAAAACAATCAAAGGACAAAATTGTAATGTAATTTTGCCAAATATATTTTGTTATATTAATTGAAAATTCTGGTTCCCCATTTAATTTAAGGTTTTGATTTGAAGTTATGAAAGTATATCTGATCAAAATTTGTCTTGATTGTCATAATATTCATTCACCCTTGTAAAAGTGTTCCCCTTTGTAGCAGTTATCGTACCTGAACAAAAATTATGAAATCAACAATATAAAATATGGTCCCATAAAAAATAGTAAGGTACAGAGAGGCAGATAAATAGTTGAGTGCAGCAAGATTCTTCCAAGCCAGGCCACCAAACAAGCAGAGGAACCCCACCACTAACAGCCATTTTCAGAAGAAGCTAAAACATGGCCTCACCCTACAGTGAAGGGCAGCAGCAAATTGGGTTGATGAAAGGTGCCCGCCCTGTCTCACATACTAGAGAAACAAGCCAAAATCTAACCATACATTTCCACAGACAAATCCAGAGAGAAAATGACGTCATTTATTCCTGATTTCCATGGGTACAAATGTATGAACAGTAGTAATTTCATTAAAACAGAAAAAGGGGAGGAGGAGAAGGAGGAATTACACTAAAATATGAAATACAGAAACAAGATTAGTTAACTTCTGTACTAATGTACCGACCGACCCCAAAACCTACCTCTAACACTATCTCTCTCTACAATTCACCCACTTTCCCCTTTCCCCATTCATGATCTGTTAGACAAAGGATCGCCTGCTATTTTGTTTTGTCAGTTTCGAGCCCTGTTATGTTACAGATCATTAGTCTACAATCTAAACTAGCTGCCCAACTAGGGTTGGTTCTTACATGTAAAAGGGTGATTCGATAAATCACAATTACTTACTGTTACCATTTAAAATTAAAACCACCTGGAGTTAACCCACGTCTCCTAAGCCGCCTCTGAGTTGGAACAAGAAAATGCAGGAAGACTCCTAATGTAGGGAGCACTTAAGGATCTATTTTTTGCCATTGAAACCGTCCAGGAAGTGGCCTGTCATTCACTGGATCATAGTTGTACCTGCAATGCAAGGGCTGTATTATTGCTTGTTTCAAAATTTAAAAAAAAAAAATAGCATAATGTATGTGGTGAACTAAACTCCTACTTTTCAATGAACTCTCTCTGCTGCTGCTCTTCTGCGCCTGAAAAGAATTCATTCATTTCATGAATTGTTGGGATGTGTCCTTCCGGTGAATTTTGAATTCTGCGGTGGGCTTGATTTGTGCTGGTACGCCTTGTACTGGAACCAGGGGTTGGAATGGCATCTGGATCCCTTATCAAACTGATAGGTGTGCTCTCCCTAGTGGTCCTGCAAAAAGGCCAAGTAAAATGCATTAGCATCATCCGTTTATTACAATTCAAGGGCATATTGAGACCCTACCGTGAGAATACATAGCAAGCAAGCCTTTATGCATCATTGCAATTGAAGTTACTTGCAAACCATGTTTTATATCATCATATATAGAAGCTTAGTAGCAACAATTTTAGCTCATTTTATTAAAAAAGGAATTTATTTAGTTCCTTCTGTACAATTTTCATGCCATTTATCCAAACATAAATGATACTCTCCACTCACCCCCACAAAAAGCACACATATTCAGTTGTTTCAATAGTACATGATCTAGGCTAAGATAGCAATATGCATGCGTTATATATTGGGTAAATACAGAGAATTTTCTGCACCACAACATGTAGACCAGATGTACTGTGTTTCACCAAACTGGTATGTGGTGTCCAATATGACAGTCTTTTTAGTGTACTTTTGTTGGGTAAGTAAAGTAATACTAAACAATTAGCTTTCACCAAATTACCTTTCCTGCTACAAAATGTATCAAGCCCCAAACTATTAATTACCAGTCTATAGCACTTTCCACAATAACAAGTGCAGAGAGTAAAACAATCCCTACTGTACATCCAATCGATTAATAGCCATTCACCATATTCAACCTACTACAACAGAACAAAAATCTATGCAGTGTAGGTAATCACACCTTAAAACTTTAAAAAAACATATAATCAACAATGTGTGGATCAAATAATGCACAAGCAAGGGGTAACCCCAGCCAAGATAGCTAAGGATACAAACTTTTAACCACAAGGTCATGAGTTCAAATCCCAGCTCTCTTGGTTTGAGTTGGTCAGCTATGGGCAAACTAGGTTGATTTACCTCCTTGTGGTCCTTCGCCAGCTAGGGTCACAAGGCGGGGTTTACCTCGTCAAACCCAAAAACATAATGCACAAGCAGCACATTACTAAATTATGTTCTAAAAGTTCCAATCACAAAATTCTTTTCATCTCTTTTTTCACATTCCAAACTATGAAAAAAAAAAAAAAAAAAAAAAAGGAGAATGCCCCCAAGAGAAACAAGAACATGACACTGGATATGGGAGGAGGAAAATATCTCCAATATACTGAGCTATTACGAACAGAAGGAAGAAAAATAATTAGAGGAAACTAAGCATAGTAGGAGAAAATAAAGGGCTAAACCAAAGGAGAGAAAAGAATGGAGACAGACTTGCTGAACATTTACCTCTTTATAAATGCAAAAGGGAATTGCACAGTTTAAGAGTTCTCAAAGGATGGAGAAACAGCAGAGATCATGATTGATACTTTCATATGGTAACTGAATATTAGAGTGTAAAGATTCAATTCTTAATGCTCAAAGTACAAGATCTGATACCATCCGCCAAAAAATGAGAAAACATGTAGTAGATGTATCTCCTTCAGATTTTCACACTGATTAAAAAAATGCTCAAAGCACAAAATGTTATCATCTGCCATTCTCTAGCAATAAAAGAAGCACATTGATGCATCTCCTTCAGAAGTTTACACTAGTCAGTTATATTCCCTACTACAAAAGCTGCAATAATCACAGCTTTCAATGAAAATCAATCCCATATAATTCCTAAAGATTGCAAGACAAAAGGTACAATTTAAAAGAAAACGAATAGCTAGTTATTGTACCATTTCTGTGCCCCTAGACACTAACCTTCCTAGACCAAACATATTACTTTTGCATATATTTATGCAGCAATTGTGCAGTGCCCAAAGGAAAAAGAGGAATAATAAGATGAAAAAGGCTGTGTAGAAAGTGACTTCTACCACGAAAGAAAGCACCAAACTCAAGAAAAAAAAAAAAAAAAAAAAAAAAACACAAAATTAGTTTTCTATAGGAATATCAAATCCATTTCTTTTTTGCTTAAAAACTCAAACTGTTAAGAAAAAGGAAACATAGAGAAATGAATTTGGTTTTCCTTCTCTCTCCCAACTTACTAATAATCATAACAATTCTTGGAAAAAAAATTAAAGAAATCAATATAGACTTATATAGCTAAGATCGAGAGAAACCCAAATTTTGATATTTCGATTTAGATTTTCTAGAAAGAACAAGTAGGTAAATTAAGAGGGCAAACAACAAAATTCCACATTTCAAAAAAAAAAAAAAAAACAGCAAAATGGAAACGAAGAACCTAGGCTAGGAATTTATAAAGGAAGATTTTAAGAAACAAAAAACCACATAAAGTTCCCAATAAACTTTCCGATTTTTAAAGGGGAAAAAGACTCCAAACCTAGAAAAATCCGCTTCAAATAATGCGCAAAACCAAATAGCGCAGCTTTAGAATTTGAAAGAGAAAAAAAAAATTAAAACAAAATATCCGAGAAACCCACCTCTCTCTACCTTCAAAATCCGGCAAATTCTCGCCGAATGACCCTTCAACAGCGATATCGTCTCCGTTGTTGACATTGTTCTCAGTTTTCTCGACACCAACGTTACTCTCCTGCAAAATGTTATCTTCCTTTTTCTCGTCATCCAAACATTCGTCCCCCTTATTCACCGAGCGCGAATTGGCAGAGGACACCTGTCTCAGCTTCGAACTGGCTCTCGAACTCTTGTTCTGGTTTTGGTTCGCCTTCAGGCTAGGGTTCGAATCTTTGGGGGCGGGCTTGTGCCTGCGCGGCTGGGAACCAATTGGGGGTTTCTGCAGCCGCCGGCTGCGAAGCTGCATGTAGGACCCACAATCACCGCAACCGGAAGAGGTAGCGCCAGGCGCGGCCACGGTTGATCGCTGCAAGCGCTGGAGGGCTAGGGTTTTGGCCCGGGTACGGACGCCAAGAGAGGATTGTGTGTGGCTGATATCCAGCAGAGCCACTTCGCTCGCGGTTTTTGACTTCCTCATATACTTACCCATTCTCTCTCTCTAAAACTCTTCAGTCCGCTTCGCTAAGCACTTTTCATGGACTCCTGTAAAGAGAAATACAATCTAGAGGGAGAGCAAGTGAGAGAGATGGGTTCAAGGTTTCAGTTGTTCGTTGCTCTGTTTAGAGAGAAGACGACGGGGAGAGAGAGGGTTTAGCAGAGAGAGAGAGAGAGAAAGACGATTGCACTTTTTGAAGGGGGAAAAGGGTGAAGAGAGGAAAAACCAGGGGTGGGGACAGGGAGTTTTTCTTTTCCATTTTCTTTTTTTTTCCACTACATTTATCCGACTTAAAATTTCTCTTTTAATTATTCGATTATAAAGGTAATTTCAAATAATTTTGAATTCCTTTGCATTTACGTAAATTAATTTCAATAAATGTTATATTGACTATTGTGTGTATTTAACTTTTGATATTCAAATACACACAAAATTTCACAAATTTAATCATTATATCTACATCTACAAATCTAATAAGAGCCTATAATGTTAGGTCTTGGGACAAAAAAGAAATATCGGTGTAATTATTTCTTAAAATAAATGGTTCATATTATTTTAATTTTAGTATTATTTAATAATTTTTTTATTTACCCTCTATTATATTATTTTCTTCCCATAAATAACTCTGAATTCCGTTATTATAAATTTTAGTAACGGAATATTTCGTTAACTATTTATTATTCTTAACTTACTCATTAATTTCTATAAAAAGGTCTAGGTTCGAACATCATCCAATTAAAGTTGGCATAATTGTTATTATTTTAATTTTAGTATTATTTAATAATTTTTTTATTTACCTCTGTTATATTATTTTCTTCCCATAAATAACTCTGAATTCCGTTACTATAAATTTTAGTAACGAAATATTTCGTTAACTATTTATTATTCTTAACTTACTCATTAATTTCTATAAAAAGGTCTAGGTTCGAACCTCTTCCCAATTAAAGTTGGCATAATTGTTAAACATATACTACGAATATGTTAAAACGTATTAAAATATATATATAATATAATATTTAACATAAACTTTTGTCCCGACTAAATACATAGCATTCAAAGTTGAGCATCAAAGATTATAAGTTTTTTTTTCGTTAAATTAATCTTCTTTTGATTATTTAAAACAAAACTTAATATTTCAATTATGTTTTTGCATTATTAGAATGATTTAAGTTATTATGGTATTAATATTTTTTGTATGTATTTTTATAATGGTACAATTGTACATTACTTTACAAATATTATACTATTATTTTTTTTATCAGACAAAATTGTTCCTACATCATTGTCAGACCTGCGCGACCTAACTACAAAGTGGTTGATCATAAATACAATTACACATGGACTCTAAAACGATACATCATTTTACAAAGAATTGACAATGTTGACATCCACTGGCTCAAATTGAATAAGTTTACACATCAAAATATTATCAATGCATTAAAACTTCTAAAGAAATTTGTAAGTTAATTTAATTTTTAATATATCATTATAATAATATCTATTGTGACCATATATTTTGAATTATTTATTATCAATTGACAACCATGGTAGCAAATGTCATTAACAAACTATCAAAACAATGTGTCACAACAACGAATAGAAATTTAAAAAAAAATTAATAATTTCATTATTGTTGATGAAAAGTTTGTACGCCACTTTATTACTCTTATTTAATTATTATAAATGAATTAATAGCTACAACAAAAAATAATACATATGTATTTAATTAATTTAGAATTAGATGTCTATAATGTTTTTATTTTAAAGAATTATTCATTAAAAAAAATTAAAAAGAGATATAATTTCATTAGTTATATTATATTTATTTTCTACAATTCAAAGATTACTTACCTTCAAATTTATTAATTTACTAGTTGTTTTACGCGCTTTGCGCAAATGGAATAATGTCCAATGGTTATTTTTAAATATGAATTTCAAAGTATATATCAATGCAATATTATATCGGAGATGTTCATGCATAGGTAAATAAATATTGAATTTGTTTATTTAAATCAGTAATTTAAAGTATATAAATGCATATATAAGAGATTGATTATATTGTCACTAAAATAAATGTTTGCATCTTTGTAATAACGCTAGTCTAAATACTTTGTCTAAAAACGATAGTCTAAATATATAAATACTACTTTTGTTTTAAATTTCTCTAATTCTTCTTAATTCTCGTTTGGGTAGCATTGCCATTGTCTTCATCTTTAGTACATGTCCTTTTTTTTTTTAATCGGTAGTGTGTCATGTGCAATTGGGTTACTGGTGGTAGCATAGATGGATTCATCGTGCAATGAGATTATGGTGTAGGAAGCTTTAGATTTGCCTTGTTGTGCATATAATGGGATCTTAGTTGTACTATTAATTCTTTATCTTACAAGCACCTATTGATATTTGGTAGTGATAATTTTTCTCCTACATGTTTCATGCGGTGTGACTTGTGAGATGTGTATCGTAGGTTATCATGTGAAAGTATTGAACAAAATATTAATATTTATTATATTTGTATAAAATACTTGGTAAATAAATATATATAACATATTTTGTATTATAACTTTGATATTTAATTACAAGATAATGTAAAAAGAAGACAATGGACAATGTATTAAATATAATCTACATCTATCTACATCTACATTTACAATTCTAATAAAAGCCAATAATGTTAGGCCCTTAATTTGGAACAACAAAATGTATTGTTTCTTAAAATGAATGGTTCATATTATTTTGATTTTAGTATTTTTTTTAATGATTTTCCTTATTTACCCTTTATTATATTACTAGTAATTCACCCGCGCGATGCACGGAAAATAATTATGTTATTATAAATATAAATAAAAAATAAAAAACTAAAATATTTTAAATTATTTAATATAATAATATTTTTGAGCTTCCATTGGTCAAGTATTTATTTTTTATAGAATACAAAATTAAAATTAAAATTATAATTATAATTTTGTATGGTTAATATAATCTCTAATTATGTGCATATTCAAATAAACTTATAGAGATAATTTACATAATTACATTGATTTATTCTTAATTGTATTTCGTCTATATTATAATTTTCATAATACAAATAATAACTAAGATAATTACATTTGGAAAGCAAATTTCAAATTTTGTATGTGTAAATTTAAACTCTAATTGAACACATTTTTTATATGATTATATAATATATAGCTATTTTATTTTTCAAAAGTATATTTTTTTATATGATTATATAATATATAGCTATTTTATTTTTTAAATGTTGTGTTTTTTTTTTTTTTTTTAATAAAGGATGTTGTGGCATTAATTGTAACATTAATTATTTCCCAAACCATATAGCTTTATTATATAAAGGATTTTCTTCCCTTAAATAACCTAAATCCAGTTAGTATAAACTTTAACGGAATATTCCGTTAACTATTTATTATTTTTACCTTACTCATTAATTTCTATAAGTAAGGTCTTAGGTTCGAACTCCATCCCAATTAGAGTTGGCATAATTGTTAAACATATACTACGAATATGTTAAAATGTATTTAAAAAAATATATAATATAAAATTTAACATAAACTTTGGTCAAATAATTAGTCCGACTAATTATCCATTGTCTTCTTTTTACATTTTCTTGTAATTAAATATCAAAATGATAATACAAAATATGTTATACATACGTATTTACCAAGTATTTTATACAAATATAATAAATATTAATATTTTGTTCAATACTTTCACATGATAACCTACGACACACATCTTACAACACATGAAACATGTAGGGGAAAAACTACCACTACCAAATATTAATAGGTGCTTGTAAGATAAAGAGTTCATAGTACAACTAAGATCACAGTTATATACACAGCAAGACAAATCTAAAGTTTCCTACACTTTAATCTCATTGCACGATATATCCATCTATGCTACCACAGTAACTCAATTGTACATCACACACTACCAATAAAAAAAAACAACAACAAAAAAACAAAACAAAACAAAACAAAAAAAAAAAAAAAAAAAAAAAAAAAGGAGGACATGTACTAAAGATGAGAAATTATAATCAAAAGTAGTATTTTTTTTAGACTATCGTTTTTAGACTAGCGTTATTACAAAGTTGCAAACATTTATTTTAGTGACAATTATAATCAATATCTCATATATTATATCACATTTATATACTTTAAATTACTGATTTAAATAAACAAATTCAACATTTATTTACCTAGAGCATCTTCTATATAATATTGCATCGATTTACTTTGAAATACTTATTTGAAAATAATTATTGAGCATTATCACATTCGTGCAAAGCGCGTAAAAAAACTAGTATTGAAAATTAAGGTGGTCGTCGAGGTTGTTCTAGTAGTCCCATAAAAACATGTAGATTAATATTGTAACACCCCACTTTTCTTAAACCTCATTAACAAACTTAACCTTGAAAGATAAACTAAAACAGCGGAATAAACTTTACTAAACAAACTCAAAGGAGGTGTCACCGCCACAATTACCCTTCACAATAATTGCACAGGCAAAGGTAGAATAACTAAAACATCAAACTTTTACTAACATTAAATAACTAGGGGATAAAACCCCGCTGTCTAGCACCATCAAAACAGAATGTGAGTCAACTAACAACCTCAAAACAGTCAACAACAGAGTTTAGACTACAAAGCTAACTATGCTAATCTAGTCTAACTCGTACTCTCTCACGAACTGGGTCCACCTGAAAGGGGTTAACAACAAGCAAATAGAAAACAAACCCGTTAGCACGAAGCTAAGTATAACGCCACTCAACCCTGTAAAGTACTATAGATATACTTTTGGAAAACAACTTTCACAAACACTTACATCAAATAGACTTAAGCATTTCATCAACACTTAATCAAATCAAAAGTACTTCTATATGCTTGCAATCCTAAGTATAACATAGACATGCTTTCTCAATCGATTAACTCAATCAATAAACACATTCAATAAACTCATACTTTCACATGTCTCAATAAACAATAACATGCTATCGCATAAACTCACAAATGACAAAACATGCTCATGCTCATTGTTGCAAAAATCGCGCCTAGGCGCCCTAGGCTGTCCCCAGGCGCCTAGGGGGCGCCTAGCGATTTTTTTAACATTGCTCATGCTTATTATCTTACTCTCATGCAACTCATGCAATTGACTTAATCATGCAATAGTGAA